ATTTCTTCCTGTTTTTCATCACTTTTCTCCTTGTATTAGATTCTGTCTTCTTTTCTCTTCGTACTCTATACCCTGCTGTCAATCTCAAATAACTTCAGCTCTAGTCCCCATTTCTTTCCTGAGCTTCTGTATTCCCTGACCTGTGGGACAAATTCCCAAGCATCTCACTATAAAGCTGCACGAAACTGAGCTTATCTTCCTCCCCCGACTTCCATATATATCTATCTTTCCTCAAGTGTTCCTATTTCAGTAAATGATTCCTATCCAACCAATATTTAAATCAGACATTTCCTTAGTATTTCCATGATTTTTCTTACTACTCCCTACCTTCAACATCTCATCAGTGAACATAATCCAGCAGTTCTGTTTTCACATAATCCTTGCATATGCCACCTTCTCTATCATACTGGTCCAAATCACCAACCCTTCTCACTAGCCTCTAGAGTGGTCTTACTGCCTTCATTCTTGCCTCATTATAATTTTTTTTTTCCTGTAGCAATAATAGTGATCTTAACATAGTAATCTGATAATGTCATTACTAGGTTTAAAATACTTCATTGGTTTCCCTCATCGCCATTAGGACAATATGCTCCTGGACAACACTTCCTTCTTATTCTGGCCTCTGCTTAACTTTCTTGTCATCATCTTTGACCACCCGTCTCTTCATTGACTACTCTGAGTGCATAGTATTGTCATTTCTCTTACCTTGCACGTGTTACTTCCACCTGGGACATTCCTGGTTATTCTTTAGGCCTTGAGTTATAGGTCATATCTTCTGAGAAAAGCTTTCCCTAATTTCTTTAAGGAAAACTGAATTTTCTCTTCTGTTTCCAACTGCATTTTTTTCCAGACTCTGACTCTTGTCCTTTTTTTGTGTGGTGTAATAATTGTTCTGTTTAATTGTTGGTATTCCCTCACAGACAGAATACATTTCATCATAACATCCCCTTGTTTTCCACCATCTAGAGCACAGAGTACATGTCTAGGAAAAATATGATGAATGAAATATAGATAGATGGTGAGTGATTGCATGAAGAATAGAGATTTTTACTGGAGAAATATTTTGTAGATTATTGGATTGAGAGCAAATAGAGGCTTTAGACTTACAAATAAAGAGAGATCATTTTTCCACAGAAAGAAAGAAAAGAAAAATTGAGAGGAGAAAAAGGAGGACCTTCTCTTTAAATGGTTTTGGTTGTATCAGTATAGCAAATAATTCCATCTTTGAAGAATAAAATGAGATGCTACATTAGTTGATTTGAAGACAATCAGAATGATTTTAAAGAGTTTCTGTTAATAAATCTGTAACAACAGTGATTCTTTTTTAGGATACGTAGCCTGAGTTAACAAGTAGCACATCCATTTACTAAATTATATAGTTTTCATCATCCTTGCTTAGATATAGGGGCATAGGAAAAAAAGTTCTGGGATTATATAAGGCAGGTGCAATGGAGGTTCGGGAGGCCAAGAGGTTCTAGGGTAGCAGGGCAGACAATTAGAATGATTGATTAGAATGTTTGGTTTGGAGGAAGAGGAGAATTCGCCAGGGAAGAGAGGAATAGATTGAGAAAAGAAGAGGAGGAGTAAGAGGACCAAATGTAGTAAGGAAGGGGAAAGCAACATTTGAAGGATTGAAGAGTAGAAAATGCATAGTGAGAAAAGGTTTTGATCGCAGACAAGATTTGCTAAATTTAAAATAGTAGAAGAAGTAGAACTCCTTTTAATTTTTTGAAAGAGTTTAACTGGAGACCTATTTTATTTTGAGATAGGAAAGAGCGTTTTTCCAAGTTGATTGTATCCTAGATGTCTTAAAGACAAGTTACATTTGACTGACATTGTTTTTCTTTGATATTCCTTTTTAGTTTAATAAATGTGTACTTTTTTTTCCATGTGTAGTTTATTTTTTGTCTGTTTCTGAAGCTGTGTCAGACTGTTACTCACCTACAAAGTCCTCCATGCTGTAATACCAGATATTGAAAGAGAGACTAGGATCGAAGGCTCTTTCAACAAAGTGCATGATAACTTGTTTGAATTATTTCCCACTAGAGTCCACATTGATAAAATGATAATTTTCTTGACATATTTTAGAGAGGGAAACACGTGCTTGATAGAGCCTTCTGTCATGCCCAAACACCAAGCTAAGAGAATATCTGTATATGTAAAATACTGTTTGCTTTATTGTCATTTTTGTGCTTCTAACGTGACTTTTGCCTAATTATAGCTTTCTGAGAACAAGAGACATAATATTACTCATTTTGTTTTCTACGTCATATGTTACATGTATTTGTGAGCAAATACAGTAGCTAGATTTAATTACCTGAAATTCTTTAAGTTATGCAAGTGTTTCTGTGAACAATTACTCTAATTGGGAAGGTAATATTAGACCAACTCCTCCTCCATTGCTCTAGTTTTAAAGCAAAAGAATGTGTGTTTTTTTTTTATTCTAATTCTGTAGCTGGGTTATAATGAGATCTCCAAATTTAGTATGTGATTGAGGCTTCCCTTCACTGTCTTAATGATAATAATATAATGCATTTACTAACATTTTGCTAAGTTGTTTCAATGCATTATTCAAGTTGAAAATATTTGTTTTTATATGAACTATTTATGATGGAAAAGGTGAATAGAATCCAATTTGAAATAAACCCAGTGTGAAAATTAGTCATCTGAGATCCGAGACTTACCAAAAAGTCACAAAAATTGCAAGTGACTGGACTGAATTCTTCGACATGTAGGTTTGTGTGCACACACAAACTGTATATATTATAACTGTGTGTGCACACACAAACACGCTTACAACACTGCATTTCCAGGAATCTGCAATTCCAGGAATTCATCATTGGGATAGTAATTGTTTGATTTGTAACATACCAATTCCTACCGTGTCACATTATTTATTCTGCTCACTGATACTCATGAGACGCAAACAGAAATATACAAACATATCTATGTATATGAACAGGTAGAAATTGATGAAGAAAAACCAGCTTTGTAACAATTATAGGAAAGTAATATATTATTTGATGTATCTTATAAAGCTCTGGTGCTGAGTGAGTCCAACTTTTAAAAGTTATTTCCCTACTCTTATTCCACTGGCACACTGGACTTGAAATATGAATAGGTAATGAATTGTACTTTTAACATTACTGACAGAGTCTGTATAATTTGCCTGAGAAGGATAGTGGAGTGTAGCCCTGAGTGTGCATGGTCTGAGAGCAAATGTTAAAAGAAGGTTACAAGCATAGAATACATGATAATGGTGATTATGCACAGGTATAAAGATGAGGACTAAATAACATGGATAAAGCTAGTCTCAGGGTTCTGACCTCTTCCCTGATATCTCAGGTTTGGTACTGATCTATGTGAACGTATTTCATTGCTGACTTGATAACACGATATGTCATGGGAGTAAAGGTAGCTTATTGTGAGAATTTAAATACCTGCAATGTCCTAAATGCTTTCAGTAAGATAAACTCAGCTTCTTAGTATATTACATCTTAAAATCAGTGAAGCTACTGCATACTTTTATATGTCTGTATGAGTCACAACCGCATCAGCCCAGGTATTTACAAAAATTATTTTTTTAATGAGGTTCTAATCATTGCTAATATACATTCTGCATAATCTAGGCAGTCTCTCTCTCTTTTTGTTTTTTCTTTCTTCTCTCTTTCCCTTCTTGCACAAATACTCATTGAATGTCAACTGTGTTTTAACCTTTAGGATCACAGCACCAAACAAAACATGCCAGGTCCTGGCAACTCCTATTCCTTTGGGGTGGGGAGAGAAACAGACAATAAACAAATGAATACTAGAAACAGAGAAAGAAAGACTGAGAGATCACAGGTGTTAAATAATGTTAGGAAGAAAAATAACACATGAAAATTAAGAACTAAAAGGGTTTCAAGTGCTTTAAATAGGGTAGTCAACAAAGATCTTTCTGATAATGCAATATTTGAACAAAGACCTGAGTAAAAGTAGGAATCCAGTCATTCATTATAATATATGAGGTGAGAAAGTACACAGAGAGGAAGATCTGAGGCAGGAATGAGAGTACTTGTTTGAAAACCAGGAAGGGGCTACTATGGGGATGGTATGGCGGGCTAGGAGTAAGTTAGGTCAGGAGAGTAGGTAGAAGAAAAGGCTTGTGAGGTAGCAGGGACCAGATCATAAATAGTATCTGGTCACGGGAAAGATTTTATATTTTATTGTGAATAATTTGGAAAGATGGATGAGGGGTTAGAGAGGGAAGTGACCTGCCATAGGATCACTCTGACTAGTGTGGAGAAACAGAACACAATTGGTGGTGGTAAGGTAGAAACAGGGAGACTGTTAGCAATTCATCGCTGGTCATGGTGATCTGGGAGAGGCCGGCCGTGGAGGATGTGGTAAGAAAAGGTGATGGATGTGCTGATAGAATGTGGGCTGGAGAGAAAGAGATGACTCAAGGGTGGCTCCAGAATACCGAGGTGACTTGAGTACCCAGTAAATAATGTTGTTATTTACTGACATGGATAAGAACATGAGAGGATTTGCTGTTTTGTTGTTGTTGAATCTGGATCTCATTTCTCCCCTCCCATCCAGTCTTTGCTGGAAACTAGAACAGACCATTTGGTACTTTGACTTAAAACTGTCTTATGCTTGGAAGGAAGAATGATAGTGATGATGGCAATAAGCAATATTTGAAAGCATTTCCAGTTTGCAAAATATTTTAATATCCTGTAATGCATTTGCACTATGTGGTCACACTGAGGATTTCTGCACCTACTCCTAACTTTCCAAAAAAAGAGAAAAATAAAGAATTGTTTGAGGTATAAGGTGATTTGTAACTTACTTTAAAATACATAAAGAACAGTTCACATATTCTGAAAACCGTGAACTAAGGAAAGATTAGTTCTTGAAATATATCAAATGCAAGTGAGGAGAAAGTGAAAGTGGACTGTAATGAATGATATTATCTATCTAACTGTGAAATAATATATGTGCTGTAATTTGTCTCTCAGATCCAAGGTTCATTAGTGCCCACCTCATCCCAGAAAGTGACAACCCTGAAGATGACAAAGTATATTTTTTCTTCCGTGAAAATGCGATTGATGGAGAACACACCGGAAAAGCCACTCATGCTAGAATAGGTCAGATATGCAAGGTGAGGTAAAGAAAAAAAAAACAATTGAGGAGGATATTATTGTCCAATCATGGTTTTCTTTTTCTTCTTTGCCTATATGCAAGTATAATGAAAACTATGGCTAAAAATCTTGACTGATCATTATAAATATTTAAATGGTAAAGAATGATTTGAAAACATACTTGTTTATTGGTAGCTCTTCGTAGGTAAACATGCGGGTAGAAATTGTGACACATTATTTCACGTTTACATTAAATGATCTTCCTTTGAAATTTTAAAGAAATACATTTTTTTAAAATATTTATCTTTGAGAGAGAGAGAGAGACAGAGCTCAAGTGGGGGAGGGGCAGAAAGATAGAAGAAGACACAGAATCCCAAACAGGCTCCAGGCTTTGAGCTGTCAGCACATAGCCTGACACAGGGCTTGAACTCATGAACCAAGAGATCATGACTGGAGCAGAAGTCAGATGCTTAACTGACTGAGCTACCCAGGTGCCCCCAGAAATACAATTTTTTCATGTTACCTGGGAGAACACATTTTTTTTTTGTATTTTCACACAACAGTTTCCTAAAATATGTAAGAGTGAATGGATATTTGTTGTTGGGATAGCTAAATTATTGATATAAAAGAGAAAATCATTAAAGCTTGATTTTATAAATTGATTATAACATCCTATGTACATATATATGAACACATACATACAGTTTTGAGCATCTGAACTTTGAGGTAATTCATTTACAGTGTAACACAAAACTGGATATGATATTGCATTATAATGTCAGATACATAGATTAAAAATTACCCAATAAATGCTTGTGGATTAATTAGTATCAGTGTAAAGATACGATAACAGTACCATTCTTTCCCACTACACTGTATATAGTGCAGTGTATATGCAGTATGAATCAAGCTAACTGCTATTATGTATTCAAGCACCTTTCATCTCAAGAAAAATCACAAAACTAGATCCAGTAATTATCTTCAATGGAATTGTCTTTTTCAAAGAAGATATGAAATTTTTGAAAATCTCTCCTGGGGGGATTGGTTAGCATCTTTTCTACCTCAATCATGATGTAATTATTTATCGCTAGTATATTAAGTTACTGGAAAACTAAAGGTTTTAACAATCTGGAAACATACAAAAATATGTGAAATATGTGAGAATCTGTTCTCCAAAAAATATAAATCATATTTAAAAGCACTACTTACAGGGTTAGAAAAATCTTTATAGCATGTAGAATTATATCAACAAAATATAAATCATTGTTATGTGTTTGAAGGAACACGGATGTTCCTTCAAACACATACACCTAAATATTATTTTAAAAGAGCCTAAATTACCAGCAAATACATATGATCATAACAGAACTTATTGCTTAAGTTAAAATTTAGTTTCATTTTCAGTGAGGAGGTACGTTTTCAAAATGTTTTCTCTAGAATGATTTTCTTTATTAAGGCTGGTGCAAATATTTTTTTCAATATACTGTTTGTAAAATTGAAATTGTTTCAACTGTTTAAGCTTATAAAATATTTGATGCTGGTTTGCTTTTCTCTAGGATCTACTTTCAGTATGTGTTATAAGCTGTGCATTTATTCTTCCTTCAATAAATATTCGTTAAGTGCCTATTATGTGCCAGTGTGTTCTTTGTATGTTGTAAGTCATTCTGTGAATAAAGTTTGAGTGAATAGATTTGACCAACAATAAAAAAAAAGCATAGTTACTTGTATCTGTGGTATAATTACTTGCATTTTGAAAAATGAGGAAATTGTTTCTCTGTTTCAAGAGAAATATTTGAAATTATCATTCACATGCACATTTCCTAAAATCAATGTTCTCTCCTTTCAGAATGACTTCGGGGGTCACAGAAGTCTGGTGAATAAGTGGACAACATTCCTGAAAGCTCGACTCATTTGCTCAGTGCCAGGTCCAAATGGCATTGACACTCATTTTGATGAATTGCGTAAGTAACTCATGATACTGGATAGAGAATATTTGTTCAGAATTTGTCATAACCACCAAAATGCAACTTTTCCTAATTTTGTTTTCAAACAGAGGATGTATTCCTTATGAATTCTAAAGATCCTAAAAATCCAATTGTCTATGGAGTGTTTACAACTTCCAGGTAAACAACTTTTTACTATCTTACTATCCAAGAAACTTCATGTCCTTTAGGTGCTTTTCAGGAATCTATAATTTGGAAAATACATTTTTGAAAGAACATTGGCTTGGCTTAACCTTTGAGCTGTTGTAGATTCTTGGGTGGCTGATGTTATGACGTAAATAGTTAAAAAAAATAAATTTTAGCAGAAATGTCATCACTGTAAATTGAATGATGAAAAATGTATCATAGCCTTAGTATAGCTCTGACTTAAAATTTAAATGAAATGTAGAATATTCTGAAAAGCTGAAATCTGAGCTTTGATCAGACTTTGTAGTGCTATAAACTACAGTGGCAACACTCTTTCCTTTCTCTTTTCCTTCTTCCTCCTTCATTCTCTCCCTCCCCTCTCTGTCTCCTCCTTCCTCTTCTCCTCACCCTCCATTCCCCATCTTCCCAAGACACTTGCTGTCAATCAAGCAGCAATTATCTCTTGACTATCTCATTCGGTATAAAATTTATATTACCTGGAGTTGTTAAAATTAAACAGACATTAATCCATTTCTTCTGACTTCCTCATTACTTAGGGCAGTGGTTCTCAGACATCCATCTGAGCATCCGTGTGAACCACCATGCCCCGCCTCCAGAGTTTCCGAATCAGTAAGATTAGGATGGAGACTACTTTTTCTTCTATTATGAAAATACCATTATTAAATTCTGTAAATATTTACTGAGACTTACTATGTGTTAGGTACCATGAAATATGCAACTGATGTTACAGAAAAGCAACTGGGCCTCTTTCTTCCCTCACGAAGCTTGCATTCTACCAGACATTGTCTATGTGGAGCAGGTTCCAGTAATAGACTCTTATAAACACATGTTTTTCATTTGATATGTTGTATATGTAATTTTCTATGGTGAAAGATTGGTTAAAAGATAAGCATTCCATATTTTAAGTGTGCATGACTGTTTTATATCTTTGTATAAATACATCTCTCAAGCCGTATTTATATAAGTACAATAAAATGGAAAATTGTGGCAGCTCATGGCAAACTTCCAGTTTATTTCAAGTACCTGATTTTTGTCAAGCAAAATGATGGGGATGATTGCTATAATATTCCACTTTGAGTAGGATGTAACAGCTACTAACTTAAAACAATTTTCTGAGTTAGGAAGAGATTATTTTAAATGCCTTCACACAAATCACACTCAGTTACTTGCTCTAATGCTTTTGGTCATTTGGGAGTTAAAAATAATATAATGTGACATATCATTTGACATTAACTATTCATTTTCTGCACCAGTTTCAGCTCCTAAAATGACATCTTAAATATTTTTGCTTGCTTAAAAGTTCTCTGGTTTCAGTATTCATGATGGAGGCTTAACATAGTACCAAAGTTTATGTTTTTATTTCTATTGATATCAAAATTAAATATTGCTTTTTGGAAGATCACGTAGATGTTTTCCCACTGAAGTTTATGTATATTAATGTGTGTACTTCATATCATATGTTGTGTATATGTGATATAAACATATATACTATGAGTATTAATGATGGTTTCAGCTATGCTTCTATTTTGAGCAATCATAATATGTTCTCTTGTGTATTGCCAAAATATATACACATGACTAAAAAATATCACAAGCACTATTTGAGGTTGAATTTATGTTCAAGTTTTGATAATTGACATCTAATAACATTAATAACCTGGAACAACTTAAGAACAGTTGTCTTTCCACTGTATGAAGATGAAAATCTTTTTTTTTTTTTTCTGTCTCTCTTTTTTAGTAACATCTTCAAGGGGTCAGCTGTGTGCATGTATAGCATGAGTGATGTGAGAAGGGTGTTCCTTGGTCCATACGCTCACAGGGATGGTCCCAACTATCAGTGGGTGCCTTACCAAGGAAGAGTCCCCTACCCACGACCAGGAACTGTAAGTGGTCTAGGTTTTTAAAATACCAGATGAATAAATTTCTCCTGAAGGTTTATAAAAAGCTGCTACAAGCAGGTGTTAACTATAGATAATGTAAAACAAAGGTACCTTGACTATAAACAAAACAAAGCAGGGATTTTCTATGATATCGTGGAATTCTGCATTTAAAAGCATGTTCTTTAGAGACATTAGTGGTTAAGCTCAGTGCTTACCAGTTATTAATAACCATAATTTTTGAGAAATAGAAACTAAATGGGTAGACTTATTTGTTTTCTTTTCCAAAAGTGGCTTTCATAGAGAATTGAAACAATTAGGATTCATCTGAACTTGTTCTCCCTAGCTAGAATGAAGGCTTCAAGGATTGCCCATTAAATAGGAGGACGAAAAGTTTTAAATCAGTACTATTTTCCCATGGGAATGGGACACACCCCTCAAGTAGGCAAGGGAGATATGCAGGAAAATCTCATAGAACAGGGCCTAGATATTTTAACAGACACTGTCTACTCTCGCTGACCGCTCCTTTTTCCCTCCAGCAACCCTGGGGCACATTCAGGCTTGAAAAAAAAATTGGAGAGAACTCAAAATAAAACCAGCTTTGAATCTGCAATTTAAAGTAGGGCGAAAAAAAAATATGGCAGGAAGTGAGTGAAGTTAGCAGTGATGGCAGAGGTTGTACAATACCCGCACCCAAGTGCAACTGCTCTAATCCTAAGAATCTTTAAGGAAATAATTTCCCGGGATGCAAAAACTTGTGTTTGAAGTTTAGCCATTGCTGTGATTTTACTTCAGTTTGGTTTATTCTGTTAAATTCAAGTAAGTTATGTTTTATACATTTTATTCAATATGGGGATTTTAATCTTATTTTTCTCTGTTTATGAAGCTCTTTATGGGAAAATTGAAAATTTTGCATTTTATAAATATTCTAGCCGGTGGTTCTTGTGGATACAAAACCTGTGTAGGCTTCCAGAAGAATGAACCAATAAGACGAAATATTGATTATATGAAGTAAAATGGGTTTTACGAAAAAGCGCAAGATATTTACTCCATCTCTTAATGGCAGACTGCTTCTACTTTGTTGGTGATGAGTTTTCTAACCCTATGGCTCGTTAAGGCCAGTGTATTCTAAGTAGGACCTGCCTCTAGGTTTCACTTCGACAGCTTTGGTGCAGTTCCTTCAGCATGCTAGATGGTGTACTGCCATTTGGAGATACAAAGGTTTTGATCTGAATTTGTACCAGTATATTTGCAATTAAGGATAGCCATTGGAAATTATTGTGTGCCAGACCCTGTTCTAAGAAATGTATATTTATATATATTGTATTCAGTAGCACAGCTATTGCTCCCATTTCACAGATGAGGACTCTGAGGCAAAGAGAGGAAGCAGGACTCAGTTGAGGCAGTTTGGTTCTAGAGCTGGTGTTCTCACTCATTATTCAGAATTGTTAAAACATGGCATAAAAAGTCAGCAGGATGCACCAACTGTTAAAGACAGAAGCAGAAAGCATTGCCTGATCTAGGAATCAGGGAGTGGCCGGCAGAAGGGCAAAACACCTAACTCCATGACTAAAATTCATTTGAATGAGTTCATTAATTCTATCAAGTGGCAGCTGAGAATAGCCATCTTGTCAACACTACTGGAGAAAAACAAACTAAGTGAAACATATTACGTTAAATAAGTAGCTTTATAATTTACTTAAAAAGTAATCCTTTAAATCCTTTGTTGTATTGGTGTATAATTGTGTGTGTCTGTATATACACACACACATATATATACATGCATATATATTACAAGATAGATGCTCTTCCCGTTTCATAGCAAGTTTATTTATTTCATTTCTCATGAATTATTTATGATCTGTATCAAGGTAATGGCAAAGACCATTGATTTCTCCTAAGCCTCTTATAAGATCAAGAACTTCTATTAATTATAGTTCAGCTCCCAAGCTCTTACATTAAATGACAAAAATTACTTAGGCATAAGACAAAAAGCAAGAGGCTGGAGATGTTTTACTTTGAATGCTTTTATCACATAATTAAATGCAGTGAAAAGAGACACAGTGGAATCTGAATTTTCTCATTTTTGTTTTATTGCCTTATATGGAGTGTTTATAATTCAGAGGCGATATTATGCCAGTGTACCACAGTGCTTCATTTCTGACTCTGTAGCCATCATCTGTTCAACTTGTCCACTTGAATTGGTCAGTTTCATTGCCATGCAGATCGTTAAACACTTTTCGTTTTTAAGTTTATTTATTTATTTTGTGAGAGATTGAGCATGAACATGGGAGGCACAGAGAAAGGACAAGAGGGAGGAACCCAAGCAGGCTCCACACTGTCAGCACAGAGCCCAGTGTGGGGCTCGAACTCAAGAAACATGCAAGCATGATTGGAGCCGAAACCAGAGTTGGACACTTAACCGTCTGAGCCACCCAGGCACCCCCAGATTATCAAACGCTTTGAATAACACCTTTCCTTACCCTTATAATTACTTTTTAGTGAGAGAGTACTGTTGGTACTTTTTGTGTTGCTTTTTCAGGGTTATGTTAGAGGGGTGACTGGGTGGGTCAGTCGGTTAAGCGTCAAACACTTGATTTCAGCTCAGGTCATGATCTCACGACTCATGGGTTTGAATCCCGCCTTGGGCTCTGTGCTGACAGTGTGAAGCCTGTTTGGGATTCTCTCTCTCCCTTTCTCTCTGCTGCTCCCCAACGCACGCATGTGCTCCCCCTCTCTCTTTCTCAAAATAAATAAACTTACCGAAGAAAAGAATAGTTTGTGTTGTCTCTTAGCTTAACAAGAGCCTTTGCATTTTAGCATGATGCCCTGGGGGGAAAATTTATCCAAGAAAATTTTTCTGAGATTCTCTAATCTGATTATTAATTGGATTTAGTTGTAACATATTTCATTTCTTATTCCAAATACTTTATCCTATCAGTAGAATATATTAGTTGCCACTAATAGAGCATCAGACTCCCATACACTGAATTCATTAGATGCATTTGTAGTTTTAGGTAAAAAATGGTGACACAACTAAATCCCATTGAGACTTAAATTACGTTTAGGAAAAAAATACTCTATATTACATCTATTAATTTAAGTAATATTATTTTTTAGTTTATCAGTTACTTAATTTTAAAGAAATAATGACAGGTTAGATTTAGTTTATGACCATTGAGGTTACAAATTATTATATAATTTGTAATTATATTCATTATATTTTAATCAAAAGCTATTCTTCTCTTTATCTTAATAGTGTCCCAGTAAAACATTTGGTGGATTTGACTCTACAAAAGACCTTCCTGATGATGTTATAACATTTGCAAGAAGTCACCCAGCTATGTACAATCCAGTGTTTCCTATTAATAACCGCCCAATAATGATCAAAACAGATGTCAATTATCAGTTTACACAAATTGTGGTAGATCGAGTGGATGCAGAAGATGGCCAGTATGATGTTATGTTTATTGGAACAGGTAAATGTTTTTAATTTTAGCCCTGAATTTCCTTGTAGACCGTTAACTTACTGAGTAAACTAAGAACTGAGGGAAGTTTTTAGAGTCGCTGTCAAGATAGAGTTAATCTCTAATAAATGACTAAAAAACCTGAACATCCACCATGACAATGCGTTATTAAAAAGTAATAATTTGAGGTATATTAATTTAAACAAAATCTCCTTTTCAATCAAAAGTTGATGAATGCAATCAAGTAAGGCTAATGATTAGGTAAACGATGTCTAGAAGTGAATCATAACTCTTTTCTGTCCATTGACTTTTTAGAACAAAGATGTATTTTCAAACCATGCCTAAAACTCCCAAGACATTCGATAATGTTTCTGGGCTATATTGATGCAAAATTACCTAACTTTAAAATTATCATGGGGCGCCTGGGTGGCTCAGTCCGTTAAGCGTCTGATTTCGGCTCAGGTCATGATCTCACGGTCCGTGAGTTCGAACCCTGCGTCGGGCTCTGTGCTGACAGTTCAGAGCCTGGAGCCTGCTTCGGATTTTGTGTGTCTGTCTCTCTCTGACCCTCCCCCATTCATGCTCTCTCTCTGTCTCAAAAATAAACAAAAATTTTAAAAAAAGTATCATAGGGTGGAAATCTTGTACAAAATAAATTTTGGCAATAAAATTTGTTTAGTGTTTTTCCCATACAATGGGAGAAAACAAAACAAAATAAAAATTTCATCAGTTGAAGAACAAAATGGACCATAAGAATCATCAGATAAATTTTAGGTTCATTTCTACAGAAATTTAACAATACATTTTTACTAACTCCATGATTAGAAACAAACTTTTTGCATATATATTTTCAGAATGAATCCCATTGTATTATGACATATTTTCCCCCTACTCTCTTTATTAATACTATTTTGAAAGCACCAGTTACAAACCTGAAACTTGCTATTTAGGGTCAGATTCCAAGGCAATAAATTCCTAGTCTCCATTAGCATTGTTAACTGACATAAATCAGTGGGAAGCAGAGTGACTGCTCCACTGAAACCTTGTATAATAGCATGTATATTCCCTTGGTGAGAAACAGAAAAAAAAATTAATTAACTACAGGGGAATGGCAACTGTGTGGTAAGTGCCTTAAAGACTTAAAGTCTTATAATGAAATTGTGAAATACTTGTATTTTCAGGTGTAACAGTGTCAGGTTCTGAGCAATAGAGTGCAGTCTACTTTTATGAGTGAGAACGTTTACCAAATTGTAGAATCCCAAAGAGACTCCAAGTTTGATAAAAGTCAGTGAATTCCAAGTATCAACTTCTGGTTATATAAATCTTTAGAAACTGTAAGTTGATAGGATTTGTCTTCAGTAAATATTAGTTTACCATTTAATGTCAAAGTATAATTAGATCTATCTACAGAGTAATTAAGTTTATTCAATAATGTCACACTTACCTTTTTTTTCACCTCTGGCCTAAACATGTTGAGAAGTCCCTCACTCACTGTCAATGAAGCAAAAGCTTGCTTCCGGCTATTTGACCAAAGAAATCCAATCATGAGTTTTTAATTCCTTTTGGACACAGGCTATCTTTAAAGGGACCAATTTCATGAGAATGTTGAATGTCTGAAGATGTGGATGGCTATTGGTCAGTACAGACCAGGGTCATCTGTCAACAAAGTAAATTGATTATAGTAATTTTATCTTTTAACTGGGTTGCACATCACAGTGTATTGATCCTAGTTGAGTAATCTGATTCAATTTGTGTGAAATTGTTTGAAATACTACTCAGTAAAACTAGATCTGGAACACAGATAAAGTTATGTTTGGATACTGGAAACCCATCAGAGGCACTGAGTATATTAACCTAATTTACCTTTAATCTTTGGTGTTATGAGTAGTCTAAAGTCCTATAAACATAAAAGTAACCTCTTAACAGAGGGCACCTTTTTCACTTTACAAGGGATACACTAGCAATTTTTCTTTCTTTCTTCTTCTTTTTTTTTCCTCACTAGCAACTTTTCTTATCTCACATAGCACATCATATTGATGCCCCGAAAATGGCTATCAATGGTTATTCACTGAATACAGTAAATGATTTTTCTGGTGTGGCTTATTCTTTACTGGTATGATTCTTCTTTTCAAATAATGAGTCAGTTGAACTTGATTAAAATGAGCCAGCTGAAGCTAAAAACAATTGATCAGCTGATCAGAACTGGAATGTTGAAGAGTCCATACTGGAAAAATAATATCTTCTAAACACAATTTAGGGTAAAAGCGACAGCTCTTTTCCTTGAAACAACTTGTCTTTTCACAATGAAAATTAGAATAAACAATCCTTTAAATCTCTATACAATGTATTCAGTTTAATAGTTTTTATGATATATGCTCTGGAATTTAAATTTCTTTAATACTCTAAAATTGATTATTCAAGACATTAATCAGACCAGTTTGTTAACCAAAGTTGATTAGTCAGTATTGAGCAACTACCAGAACAAGTAATCCAAGGTGTTTATTTTGTGAAATCAAGTTATTGTCATTCATCACTTAATGGTCATTGAGCTGTCTTTAGGGGCCTATAAGTACTACAGGCTTCCAGATGCCTGGGGGATGAGCAGCAGGTTCTGAGGCTTCACTACTTCTGTTGCTGGACAACATTCCTTGCATTTTGCATCTGTATTAAATCTTCACAGGTAGTCCCAGATTTCACAACGAAAGTGGAAAAACTTGCTATATCAACTGGCATTATTTTTTTTTAGTTTTTTTTTTTCCTGAGACACCTGACAATAGAGATTAAAAATTAAAAAATATATAGTTCAACCTAGTGATTAGTATGTGTGTATGTGTGTGTGTGTGTATATATATACGTGTGTGTATATATATATGTGTATATATACACATATATACATTTAATTTTGCAAGTTCAGGATAAAACCATCTTCAAAGCTTCATATATTTCTGAAAATTCAGCTATTTTCATTGCACAGCTATGTTCACACTTTATCTAGTTGCATGTAATGCATTTGAATATATATTTTACCAGTCCTGTAACAAAAAAAAAACAAAACAAAACAAAACAAAAACAAAAGGAAGACTGAGGTCAAAATGTACTTTCTGGTCAAATACTATTTCCATTCATGAACATTAACCTTTGTTCAGATCTATTTAAACTGTGTTCTCCTCCTCCACTTTCTTTCAAAGATGTTGGGACCGTTCTTAAAGTAGTTTCAATTCCTAAGGAGACTTGGCATGATTTAGAAGAAGTTCTGCTGGAAGAAATGACAGTTTTTCGGGTGAGTGCTGCTTAATTTCAAGTGTCAACAGGTTCACTTGTATGTCTTTCCCCCAGGACAGCTGCGCACTGAACTTGGTATGGACAAGTAGTCTAGCATACCCTTCTAATTAGCTTGTCAATTAGAAAGCCAGACACTAGTCAAAATAAACCTTGAAACTTTCAATGCTAGTTAAATCTAAAAATGTAAAGAAATATATTCTTGGCTCATATTTTGTTTTCTCAATAATAAAATATGTGATTTACATTTTACACTATTTATGTAGGTTACCTCACTGAATAAACTCATGTTGCTCCCTGCCCCCCACCCCCCAATCTCCTCTTTCATGCTTTAGGATATAACTGGAATGATAGGTAACTTCCATGAGTGTATTAAGAGAAAAATACACTCAGAATGATAGGGGAATGAAGACATTGCAGTCATTTTTTTTGGCTTATTCATGAATTGTTTTATCATATTTTCTTAAATAATTTGTTAGCAAAAAAAGTTTGAGGTGTTTAGATCACCGGTGACAAATTTGTTACGGGTTCCTAGTCTATGCACTTAAGGAATGTATAGATACTTGTTCCTTTGTCCAGGATCATGGATGGCCCGGGTAAATTTATATAGGACTGGGGGTAGAGGCAGCAGAATATGGGTTGAAGTGAGAACAGAGAACTGAAGTAATATAACATACACCACAATGCCTGTTGTTTCTTTTAGATAACGTGCTAATAGGGGAGAGTGTAAATCTAAGCACACCTTGATATGAATTATTTATGAATTTTGACAGGGAAATAGATGCCTATAAGAAGTGTTATTTCAATTTTTTATAAAAGAATAATGCAAACATTGAGACATTTATAATGGCAAAATAAAGTGGAATTAGATAACAAAAAATGAGAAAACATTGGATCTAGTCTCACAACTTAAAATTATCTTATTTAGTCTCCAGGTGTTCCAGATACTCTAAATTTGTCACTTGTCTTAAATATTTTCATTGTGAGCAAAGACTTCCTAAGACTTTTTGTAGCCCCATATTTCTAGACCATTTTGTTTAACCTGGTAGGGTTCTTGCTCACTATTCAGTAACATTTTGAAGAGAAAGTAGAATATGGCAAGTTCTTAATATATATTCACATAATTAAAATTATGATTAGCACTGAAACAAATCACTGGTGAATCAAGACATAGGTATCCTATAATAACAACAAAACAGTGTTCTGGTGGAAGGACTTTAGGCTCTTCAGTCACATCTACATAGCATTTTCTGGAAACACGTGTATGGGCTCTTTGAGCTTCCCCATCAGTGAAATGGCTGATTTAATACCTACTTCACAAGGAAGCTAGGAATCTGATTTTGGCTCAGGTCATGATGTCATGGTTTGTAAGTTTGAGACCTGCATAGGGTGAGCTCGAGCCTCGCTTCATCTGCACATGAGCCCCGCTTTGGGTGAGGTCATGCCCTCTTTCAGGTGAGCTCATGCCCGCTTTGGGTGAGCCCACTTCTCTCTCTCTCTCTCTCTCTCTCTGTCCCTTGTGGGATTCTCTCTCTCTCTGTCTCTGCCCCCCCCCGCCCCACCCCTCACTCACTTGTGCCCTCTCTCTTTGTCAAAAAACAAAATAAAACAAGGAAACTAGAAGAATTACAGACCCTTACATAAAGCATCCAGGGTAGTGCCAGGTACCATGCTCAAAATTTTATTAATACATGTTTATTGTTTTAGAGTATTATTCATGCTTATTGTTTTACATTGAAAGTAGGCCACATTTCCAGTAGACTTTTCTATTAATTTTTGGGTTAAGTCTTGAAGATAATAAAAATCATCACAGTCCTATTCTGACTTTTAAAATCATATATTTTGGCCTTATTTTATGTCTATTATAGAGTAATAACTAATCACTCTTGTTCACTAATCACAAACTTGTTCCTGTTTCAGTTTCAGTATTTATACATTGATACACTAGCCTATGAATTCAAAAATACATTTATCCAAATGGACTGTATTAACAACATAGAGTCCATCTTTGTTTACCAAATTACAAGCACTAAGAGGTGAATAAACAGTGTGCTGTCTTGTGTTCAATAGCACACAGTTGTTGTGTCTCTGGAGCCTAAAATATGTTTTCAGCCAGCATCTATTAAATGAATGAAGGAATCAGTATTTTTTTTTATTAAAATCCAAGTTTGTTAACATATAGTGTAATAATGGTTTCAAGAGTAGAATTGAATGACTCATCACTTACATATAACACCCAGTGCTCACCCCAACAAGTGCCCTCCTTAATGCCCATCACCCATTTAGCCCATCTCCCCCCAACACCCCACCAGCAACCCTGAGTTTGTTCTCTGTATTTAAGTCTCTTAACGGCTTGCCTCCCTCGCTGTTTTTATCTTATTTTTCCTTCCCTTCCCCTATGTTCCTCTGTCTTGTTGCTTAAATGCCACATGTAAATGAAATCATATGATACTTATCTTTCTCTGACTGACTTATTGTGCTTAGCATAATACCCTCTAGTTCCATCCATGTTGTTGCAAATGGCAAAATTTCATTCTTTTTGATCACTGAGTAATACTCCATTAATCAGTATTGGTGAGAAAATGAACCATGAGAAATTAAAGATTTGTGGTATTCCTCAGGGAGCCCATACTTAAAGTGAGGTGCCAGAATATGTGGAAAACATACCGGAAATAGCAGCAAGTTATCCCATTGATTATATCCCATAGAATTCTCTAGCAGAAAGAAAAAATTTTTACCAACTCTCTATATTTAGAAATTTATATCACAAATGAAGTTATAGGAGATACTGAAATACTACGTTAGCTTAAAAATATCTTTATTAATTCCAGAAACTCTTACTTTTGTATTTGCCATGGTTCCTTTGTGAGTTTTCCTTTAGTTGTTGTATATTTTATTACCTGTGCCTCTAGGATTTTAAGTCTGCATTTCACATCTCAGCTATGTTCTTTAGTACATTACTAAAATTCTAGTTTAAAAAGGTGTTAATGTAAGCTAATCTGTTAAATGATGTAACAAAATCTTAAAAGGTTGAAAGCCAACAATCTTACACTCACAAATATTTAATATCTATTAGATTTTAATATCTTGCAGTTTCCAGGGAAATATGTAACTGAATTAAACCTATGATCACTACTGAGTGACATTTTTGTGGTTTTTAAGATATCATCAGAAAGGTTACTAATCATTCTGTAACAGATATAAGTAGGTAATATTATGCTGGTATGGAAGTGATTTTTTTGTGAGTTTACGATTTTGTAAAAAGATTGCAACCTGGGACACATCTCCTTCCATAGATAAATGTCCCAGTTCTCTCCCATATTCTATGCTATGCATTATTGTCATTATTATTTCTTTGGCACTCAAGTAGACAAAACATATTTGGGCAGAGTTTAGAGAAATGTTTACTTTTAACATTCTACTCTATCAGGCAGAGTTCATACATATATTATGGTCTAGCAATTGGAATATTTCACTGTCAAACTTTGTTTAATTTTGTAGTGGGAGGAAAAAAAAACACAACACATTAAAGCAATTGCTATATACAGTGAAACAAGCAGAGATATGTTACAGTTTCTATATTTCTATTTAAGCCTTACATGTCATTCCATTTAATATAAAATAAAATTAAAAAGTGTTAAGCTGAGCATAACAGTATTTTGACAAAGTAAATAGACAAGGAACAAATTTAGACTCATGTTAGTATCTGATACTCTTGGATTTTAATGTCAACCAACAAGTTAATTTTACCAAAATATCATCTCTAGGAGGCCATATTCATTATGTGTCCTTGCTACGCTGAATAACCAAACTTCATATAAAAGCCTGAATTAAAGCCAGTACTGTATCCTTTGCCATCTTGAAATTGGTTTTAGGAAAACACCCTGGCTAATCACAGAACATTTCAGTGGTTTCAGTTATATCCAAGATACTTTTTTTTTTTATTATTCTGCGTGAAATAAAATCCCAATCAGAGTATAGAAAGAAAAATATCCCTCAGTAATAAAAATTTCCATTTTGGAATAAAATTTTAATAGGTAATACGAGGTGAAATAAAATTGGCATTGGTATAAGACTCGAGAAATGATTTTAAATTGCCGTTACATATTCAAAATGGTATAGAAGTACTGAGATGCAAACTTCATTCCAAATATTACTTGGAATCATAAATGTGTATTTGGACCATACTTACTATGTGATTCTGAACAACTTGATTAAAGTCAAGCAAGCCTTGGGGCGCCTGGGTGGTGCAGTCGGTTAAGCGTCCGACTTCGGCTCAGGTCATGATCTCACAGTCCGTGAGTTCGAGCCCCGCGTCGGGCTCTGTGCTGACATCTCAGAGCCTGGAGCCTGTTTCAAACTGTGTCTCCCTCTCTCTCTGCCCCTCCCCCGTTCATGCTCTGTCTCTCCCTGTCTCAAAAATAAATAAAATGTTAAAAAAATAAAAAAAAAATAAAATAAAATTCTTGAAAAAGCCCACGTCTATAACTTACTTAAAAATATTCAAAAGTTGTAAACCTAGACATTTGCTGATTTTCAGTTTACTCAGTATGGGATCTTCTTTCCTGCAAGGAAGGTTTTACTTTTTGACAGAGGAGTGTTACATCAAGAGGCAGTGCATTTAGCACCAAGGGTTTTATTTATAGTCCTATTGACTGCAAAGGATTGCAAGGTAGTTACATTGATAACGCATGCATTTTAAACTCAATTTATGCAATGTTCCATGAACAGCTGAGCTAACAAATGAAAGAGTTTAATTTTCATTCAAATGTAAAACATAATTGATGCTTTCCAAAACCTAGTCTATTAACTCATTCTGAAGGAGCGTCCGCATGCTTTAGCATCCAGGGAGTTATGTCAGATTCTCCTGGGATCAGCAGGTTGAAAAGCTCTGCAAGTGAGAAAGTTTAATAAGGACTGGATTAAAATATCTGCAAAATAAAAAATAAAAATAAATAAAATAGAGTAAATTAGAGTCATAGAAAATCTTGAAAAGATGCTAAGTTTTTAATTTCATTTTTACTTGAACACTAATTAACTTTGCAATTGAAACCGGTTTCATGAAAAAATGCTTATGAAGCTACATCTGTTTTAAATGGAAGTCATATTCACCACCAGCTCTTTCTCAGAAAAAGAAATATAGCTTATTTAAATGGATGTCATCTTAATATATTGTCTATTAAAATTCAACAGCGTACAGCAAATAGCACATTCTATTCCAAACTGTTATTAATTTCCTGGCCTAAAAAATAAATAAAATTATTTTAATTAAGAGATCCTAGGATCTTAATTTAAGACTTTTGAAATCATAATATGGTACAATAGAGTTTGGTTGTGTATTAGGGTTTGTTTTGTTTTACAATTTGTGTATCAAATAATTTATTTTCGTCTACTTATAGATGTTTAATTTTTTTTGTCAGTGATCATGAAATGCCTAAATATTAATCAGGTTCACCATTACATAGTTGCACTTAGGTTTTTACAAGAAACTAGACATAGCTAACTTTCACTTCAATTATACTAGCATTAATTCTCTATCCCAAAAGCACTTTCCTTGCACTTTGGCTGTAAAATTTATTTCATGAAAGTCTACGTGAAGTTAGCTGCTTACGTAAGTACATAACTGTTTCTCATGTGAAACTGTTGGAATGGAAGAAGTTGCTGTGGAAAATTTTCCTAACTCCTTCAAATTGTCTGTTTGGGTTCATTGATTCCAATACTATACAGACCTAAATACAGTAGGCAATTTTGTCTTTTAAAGCTGAGAATCTGTGATGAATTGTCCCCTTGATTTTTGTGATTTGATGGTACCAAATTTTAAAGATATCTCCGCAAAGAAAAAATTGGTGGGTATGCCAAGACATCATAGCTGTCTTTCTGACTGATAATCCTATAGAAAGTTCTTATTTTTAATTTCACTAATTTATGCTATGGAAATGGGAAATAATGGGAAATCTCTAAATTGTTAATTTAAATTTTTTTTTCAACGTTTATTTATTTTTTGGGACAGAGAGAGACAGAGCATGAATGGGGGAGGGGCAGAGAGAGAGGGAGACACAGAATCGGAAACAGGCTCCAGGCTCTGAGCCATCAGCCCAGAGCCTGACGCGGGGCTCGAACGCACGGACCGTGAGATCGTGACCTGGCTGAAGTCGGACGCTTAACCGACTGCGCCACCCAGGCGCCCCTCTAAATTGTTAATTTACATCCTAAGTCATTTGTTTCATTTGTGTCTCTGGCAAGTTGTCTTAAATTTGGTAGGAATATCCTGTGATCAGTTTAGATATCTGAGTTTGAAGTGAAAATCTGCAATTCTGTAGCATAGAGGGGGTAATTAAAACCACAAGAGTGGATGAGCTACCAGGAAAAGAATGTAGCATCCAAAGGAGAGTGGAAGGGAGCAGGCAAGGGAAGGCAAACAGATGAGGAATGGCTGATGGACGAGAAGACTGTGAAAAAGGCTAAGAATAAATAGTGGAGCTGTAACGCATTGGGCTCCTGGGTGGCTCAGTGGGTTGGGTGTCAACTCTGCATTTCATCTCAGGTCATGATCCCAGGTTTGGGGGATCAAGCCCCACATCCATCCAACTCTGAGCTGAGCCTGGAATCTGCTTAAGATTCTCTCTCTTTCCCTCTGTTCCCTCTGCCTGTCTTCCCACTTTGCTGCCACTTTGCTCATGCTCTCTCGCTCTTAAAAAAAAAAAAAAGAGAGAGAGTTCCAAGGCATAATGAAATTTAATAGAGGAAGCAGTCAAAAAGAAATGAGCGGTCAATAGTGCCATGTCAAACAAAAAAAGTCCAGTAATAATAATATAGACTGAAAGTGTTCATTCACTAATACAGCTCATTAGTGATTTCTGCTTCTAAGAATCATAGGCCACCTCCCCAGGGAGGGGATAGCCTCACTGTGCTGAGAAATCAGTAACACTGAATGGGACATGAACAACACAATACATATTTGAAAGATTTTTCAGCTTAACTTAAAAGATTAAGGAAAGACCTTTTTAAAAGATGCCTGTCTTTATTTCAGACAAATTAAGTGGAAGGAACAGAATGTACTGGGGAAAGTGGAAGAGATAGAAAGGAACTGGAGAATTTAGTAGAGCATTAATTCATTTATTCATTCACCAACTCATTCATTCATTCATTTAACAGATTTTATTGAGAACTTAACAAATACCAGAAACAATCCCAGGTGCTAGGAATGTGGCAGTGAATGAAACAACCAAAACCCCTGTTCTAAATTCCAGTGAGGGGCAGGGGGGAGTGAGGGGTGAGTTGTGGAGACAAACTAGAAAAAGAAATAAGAGATGCCTCCCCTGTCCCTCCTTATATCCTGCTATCCCTACCTCCAACACAGCCTCACTGTGTGCCCCAGGACTTCTCCGACAGCAGGCAAAAGGACAGGAGTCACAACTGGAAGTATGGGAGATTTAACACCCCCGTGGGCATCTAATGAGTAATGGAATGAATCAGTTGTTTTCTTGGTATAAATCTCAGTGGACAATTTTGAGAGTAATTGTCTATTGTCCTCAGATTTTCTCTCAGTGGTGACTTCCATAACACATCTTTTTTTGACTTTTTCTCCTTCTTCTTAAACCTTAACTCCTCACTCCTACCCCCTACCTACAGATAAGAATTTACCTCAACACTGCTTTCAGGTGTGACAGGAAATTCATAAGACACAAGATAAATGTTATATTTATATCATATATATGTTATATACATAATATTTGTATACACATAAATGTTGTATGTATATATATATTTCCAGATTGTGATAAGCACAAGGGAAAAAACCAAAGCAAATAAAGAATATGAGCAGTGTGTGTGTGCCTGTGTGTGTGTATAAAAGAGAGACAGAAGGAATGAGGGAGAAATTTGAATAAACACTGTGCGCCAAGCACATTTGTAAAGTACTTTACATTTATTAACTCATTTAACCTTTTCTTCAATCCTACAAGGAAGACACCCTCATACTCATTTTTCAGAGGCGAAAACTGAATTACAAAGAGGTTACATACATCCCCTGCTGTCAAACTTTTGGCCAGGTTTGCGTTACTATTTGAGTCTATGCAGTTTGGCATCAGAATCCAACTTTGTTCAGGGTCCTACCTAGTGAGGCCTTTTAAGATTATTCTCCCACCTGTGCCTCTTTTTTCTTTCTCATCAGCCACCTCTGAAACCCCTAAGCAATAGCGTTCTTAGTGTTTAGTTTGTCACTGATGAAAGATACGATGGAGTACAGTTCAATGAAAGTAAATCAGAGAGAATATAAGCAATTACGTTCAGGTGAATAGGTTGTTGGTGGTCTAAGTTAACCAAAGAAAGTTATTTTTTTATAGCAATTATCTGTGTTCATGATAGGCTTCAGTAGAACACTTAACAAATATATTGGTGGTCAATACTTCCCTAGTTATCATTTTTCTAGATTAGCCTGTTGATAGAAATTGAAGAGATCTTGTGCTCTGACAAAAATGTACAGTGTAGGCCTTCATACAATAAGCAGTCAGTTTGAAAAAATAAATGTTAAAAAAAGTTTTTTTTTTAAATAAGCAGTCATTTTGATAATAATAAAATAATCTTATTCTACCTGAGCTCTCACAGTCGTTGACAGCTGGAAATGCCTAATACTATCAGCTTGTCAGTGGTGTTATTAGGAGCTGGCCTGGCACTCACAGGCCAGTGTTCTCCATGTGAGCATATACATTCTCACAGAACACCAGCATCCTACAGGGCTACTCTGAAACCGTGATGAATCAAGAAAAAAGCAAGACTATTCTGTAATCACGTCTGAAAATAGATCAGAGTGTAACCATTTCCCAAACCACAAAAAATGATCAACTATCCCCCATCCTGCTTATATGAGTAATTGCTACTTCATTAAGTACTGCTCTAGCTTCATTCTGTTTTTCCTTCCTCCTAAATAAGATGTACAAAGAGACCTAACCATACTGTTACCTGTGCTCTCTGCAGCATCCCATGCAGAGCAAACCCCACTTCCTTGAGTTGTCCCTCAAATCAACTAACAAGTGCCCAAGACATAGGCGTCCTTCCTAATACTCTCTTGCTGGGCAGTCCTGTAGTTTCCCTTACTGCAGTGAGCAGTAACCCAACTTGATCAACTACGAGTATGTTACTGATAATCTTAGACTGGAGGACATTAACATGCCCATGTTGTCTGGTCCACACATTTAATGTTCATCTTTGCCGTTTCCTTCATGTATCTTATTTCCCAATTATATTGCTTCTTGTAGGCACTGGAGTGAACTGAGAGCTAATGTTGGTGTTCTGTGTTAATTAATATTAATAAATGACTTTTCCAATTGACCAAGCAGTTCACATTTTCTTTTTCTTCTTCAGGAGCCAACTACTATTTCAGCAATGGAGCTTTCCACTAAGCAGGTACTATTGTTACGTATTACAGTCAATATTCTATATTTTGTTAATTTTGTGTTTCAAATAGATAAACATTTATGATTCAGCACATTTTACAGATTTATTAACAATAGTTGCAAAAAAGAGAAAAGAAAGAAAGCTTACAGTAAGCTAGTAGAATGAAAATGAAAGATAATTTTCATTGTCCCATGATTTTGACCCTTCTCACGTTCCTATAAATATATTTCTTTAGATCATTATTTGTTGCAAATTTTCATTTATAGCATTTACTTTTGGAGGATTATAATATAATTTGCTTAATAATTATTTTAATCTATCCTTAAAAGTGGCATTGGTAGATATTTCAGGCTATAAATAAGTTTATAATTTAATTTAATCTGCATGTATAAACAAATACATTTTACAAACTAATAAGTTGATGCACCAGACTGTATATGTTTGCAGGATCTTAACTCAAAAGTTCATTTTATTTTTTCAGCAGTATTGTGTGCTAGAAAAAACATTTAGTTTGGCTACATATAAAAGGAAAACACCAAAACACTCACTGCCAAATGATGTTATTAAACTCCATGAATTCAGAAGTTAAGGGTAGCATGTTAATAGTCTTTGCATTCACATTGAATGAATGCTTTGGCAAGACACTTAAGAAACACAAATGACTTCTAATGCTAAATTATATGTACAAAAACAAATATAATTTTAACTTCTAATAAATTATCTTTCCCCCATAGATGTCGCATAGCCTTTCTATTCAGTGTATCATTGGTAACTTCAAAAAAACAAAAACAAACAAAACACACACATACACACACAAACAGAAAAACAAAAAAGACTTGGATACTGGGTTGAAATTAATTATTAAATAACCTAGCAGAAAAAGCTAGAATGGAGTAGGAAGTCCTCACTGACTGTTCTGAAAACCTGTGTACAAAATTGTTAAATATGAGAATCATTCAGCTACTCTTAGTCCTGAATCATTTACATGTTTTATCTCTGACTGTGCATTATCCCTTTTACAAGACACTAAAATACTGTGCCATTAAAACTCAGCGTATATCCTTTCCACACTTACATATCAAAATAGATTGATAATCTCTGAGATATTTAGAGAAACTCAGAGTGCAGATATTATTGACCTGATACTGTTATCTTACACTTCACAAGTATGTGTTCACCTGTTCTTGCAATCTCAAAACTGTCAAATGTTGGCAAGGAAATCCAGGGATTTCCAGAATGGAAGCTAGATTGGGATATTCTTAATTTAATGATCTTTTCAATTATTTATTTGTTCTCTACTTGGCTTCATAGCTGATCTTAATTACACTACCTATAATTTTATAAAATATTTCTTTTTATTTAAGTATTTTTTAAGTACTTTAAGAATTGCCTATTAAATGCAACACATTTCACACACACACACACACACACACACACACACACCTAAAACACCAAAAATACTGTGTTTAAAATACCATGATACAAGAAGAGTATTCCTAGCCTTCTTTTTCGATTATTGGAAGTTTGATTGCATTCAGATGTGAATCAGTTTTACTCATGCTCACAGAAACTTTAAAAGTGAGCCAGTAGTTTCAAGAGGGGCAAGCAGTGTTGCAACCAATTTTCTGGATAAATAGATTCATCGCCTGCTTATGACCCGAAACTTGTTAAGGAGGATAGTGAGAAAGCCTGTGGTGATGTTAAATTGGGCAGAAAAAGCACATCAGGGTACTTGCTAGTGACTGGATTATGCTCACTGGGGCCTGCAGGCCTCCTCTATATTTCGCTTAGATAGCGTGATTAATTTTGCAGTTCTTTAATAGTACAGCAGAATACTTGTAAAATGAAAATGAGACTCAAGTTGTATTTAATTTTGGGCATTTTACCACACTTGAAGTTTTCATTACAGTAATTTTTGGTTTTCTCTTCTTCCCATGTGTTATTTCTCTGGTTTTCTCCTAAAGGGATATGACAGATTTAGATACTGTTATTTACATAATAACTCCTTTCCAAATCAAATGTCATAATCTTAAAATTTTGCAAGTATGAATTTGCTTATGCTCCTTAAGAGCTATTGACCAAACATAGAGACCTTTTGATTTGATATGCCCAACTTAATCAGTAGTTTTTATTTTTTTTTTTTTAATTTTTTTTTTCAACGTTTTATTTATTTCTGGGACAGAGAGAGAGAGCATGAACGGGGGAGGGGCAGAGAGAGAGGAAGACACAGAATCAGAAACAGGCTCCAGGCTCTGAGCCATCAGCCCAGAGCCTGACGCGGGGCTCGAACTCCCAGACCGCGAGACCGTGACCTGGCTGAAGTCGGACGCTTAACCGACTGCGCCACCCAGGCGCCCCATTATCAGTAGTTTTTAAATAGTTCCGACCACAGTACAGGGGTCAGCAAGTCCACATTCACCAGTGCCAATCAAGCTTGTGATATTGCTGCTCCATTTTAACTAATTTAATTGCTGAAATGTTACAAGTTTATTCATTTTTTAAATTGATTTGAGATTGCTTGCCTTCAATACAATCTAAGTCTGTTTGGTTTTTTGTTTTGTTTTGTTTTTCAATGATTTTGGAAGAGAGATATAAAGGACAGGAAGGGAAAAGAAGTTCCCTTCCGTTAGTTAAGTTCTTTGTTCATATTTTTCAAATCATGGTCAACTGTTGTCACATGCTGTCTCTGTAGATGCTTTAAGAGAAGTACAAATCAGTCTAATTTTTTCTCAACAAAAAACTTAACAATACTTCATCTTTTCCTCCCAAGGACTTCAACTACTGCTTCTTAATTAGCCATGGTTTGTTGGATCTTTCAGTGCAATAATAAAAGATGAATATAATAAGAAGCTGAGCATCCAGGGGCGCCTGGGTGGCTCAGTCGGTTGAGCATTCTACTTTGGCTCAGGTCATGATCTCACCCCGTCTGTGGGTTCGAGCCCCGCGTCCGGCTCTGTGCTGACAGCTCAGAGCCTGGAGCCTGCTTCAGACATGTGTCTCCCTCTGTCTCTGCCCCTCCCCTGCTCATGCTCTGTCTCTCTTTCTGTCAGAAATAAAACAAACATTAAAAAAAAAAGTTGAGCATCCACAGTATATACTGTATTCTATATGCTATCCTGTACTAGAATATTGATACAAATTGTCTTCACTACTGGAAGGGAAGAAGCAATATGCATCAGCATAATGGTTTTAATAATGGTTTAGTTTTTATTGTATTACATTCTCCCTCTTACTCCCCTATCTTTTGTTAAGATATAAGTTAGTTGGTTAGCTTTAAGCACAGAATTATTTTCTATGTAAGCACTTTTTTTTTCTTTTTTTTTTATTTATATATGAAATTTATTGTCAAATTGGTTTCCATACAACACCCAGTGCTCATCCCAAAAGGTGCCCTCCTCAATACACATCACCCACCCTCTCCTCCCTCCCACCCCCCATCAACCCTCAGTTTGCTCTCAGTTCTCAACAGTCTCTTATGCTTTGGCTCTCTCCCACTCTAACCTCTTTTTTTTTTTTTTCCTTCCCCTCCCCCATGGGTTCCTGTTAAGTTTCTCAGGATCCACATAAGAGTGAAACCATATGGTATCTGTCTTTCTCTGTATGGCTTATTTCATTTAGCATCACACTCTCCAGTTCCATCCACGTTGCTACAAAAGGCCATATTTCATTTTTTCTCATTGCCACGTAGTATTCCATAGTGTATATAAACCACAATTTCTTTATCCATTCATCAGTTGATGGACATTTAGGCTCTTTCCATAATTTGGCTATTGTTGAGAGTGCTGCTATGAACATTGGGGTACAAGTGCCCCTATGCATCAGTACTCCTGTGTCCCTTGGATAAATTCCTAGCAGTGCTATTGCTGGGTCATAGGGTAGGTCTATTTTTAATTTTCTGAGGAACCTCCACACTGCTTTCCAGAGCGGCTGCACCAATTTGCATTCCCACCAACAGTGCAAGAGGGTTCCTGTTTCTCCACATCCTCTCCAGCATCTATAGTCTCCTGATTTGTTCATTTTGGCCACTCTGACTGGCGTGAGGTGATACCTGAGTGTGGTTTTGATTTGTATTTCCCTGATAAGGAGTGACGCTGAACATCTTTTCCTGTGCCTGTTGGCCATCTGGATGTCTTCTTTAGAGAAGTGTCTATTCATGTTTTCTGCCCATTTCTTCACTGGGTTATTTGCTTTTTGGGTGTGGAGTTTGGTGAGCTCTTTATAGATTTTGGATACTAGCCCTTTGTCCGATATGTCATTTGCAAAGATCTTTTCCCATTCCGTTGGTTGCCTTTTAGTTCTGTTGGTTGTTTCCTTTGCTGTGCAGAAGCTTTTTATCTTCATAAGGTCCCAGTAATTCACTTTTGCTTTTAATTCCCTTGCCTTTGGGGATGTGTCGAGTAAGAGATTGCTACGGCTGAGGTCAGAGAGGTCTTTTCCTGCTTTTTCCTCTAGGGTTTTGATGGTTTCCTGTCTCACATTCAGGTCCTTTATCCATTTTGAGTTTATTTTTGTGAATGGTGTGAGAAAGTGGTCTAGTTTCAACCTTCTGCATGTTGCTGTCCAGTTCTCCCAGCACCATTTGTTAAAGAGACTGTCTTTTTTCCATTGGATGTTCTTTCCTGCTTTGTCAAAGATGAGTTGGCCATACGTTTGTGGGTCTAGTTCTGGGGTTTCTATTCTATTCCATTGGTCTATGTGTCTGTTTTTGTGCCAATACCATGCTGTCTTGATGATGACAGCTTTGTAGTAGAGGCTAAAGTCTGGGATTGTGATGCCTCCTGCTTTGGTCTTCTTCTTCAAAATTACTTTGGCTATTCGGGGCCTTTTGTGGTTCCATATGAATTTTAGGATTGCTTGTTCTAGTTTTGAGAAGAATGCTGGTGCAATTTTGATTGGGATTGCATTGAATGTGTAGATAGCTTTGGGTAGTATTGACATTTTGACAATATTTATTCTTCCAATCCATGAGCAGGGAATGTCTTTCCATTTCTTTCAATCTTCTTCAATTA